AGGAATAGAGACGGTTACATTTAAGCGTTTCGACAGTGAATGGGTGGGACCGAGGTGCCAGCCTAGTATTTTCATGCAGTCTAGAAATCAGCGAAATTAGCTCGTTGGAACAATTGCCGTGAAAATACTTTCAGAAGCGCCAGAGGTAAGCTACAGCACGTCTGTGAGAAAGCGATTGTAGACGAGAAGCCAGATCAGGACGTATCGCATTGCATATTATATATACTATATTTTATATACATATAACTTACTATATATATATTTAATATATATAGTAATATATATATATATATATATATATAATATATATATATATATATATATATATATATATATATATATATATATATATATACTAAGCTATATATCGTGGTTGCCAACTCGTGTCCGAGTACGGCCATTACTACATAACTTTTTGAATAATATCTACTGATGTGCTGAGCGAATGTGGCTCTTTAGCCCATCAAGCGACTTACATACTCTGGCACAAACATGGCACTTAAGAGGTGCAACAGCGGGAGGTACATTATCATGTAATTTAAAATGTCGTATGAAACCGTTTCTGAACCCGCATGTCTTACTGAAAATATCCAAAAGATAGCCACAAGATCGCAGTCATAAGCATATAGCAAATCCCTGATCAACGACAAGCGAACCTTCGACATTGCATCAAACCTCTTGATGTTAAACAGCCTTCCTATTGAACAAAAATGAATGTAAATAATAAGATTGCAGTTCTTAAAAGCCTGTTCAATAACAGAAAAATAGAGAAGTACAGGGCAAGTAGGGTTGGAGTCGGAATGTCGCCCTGCTTAACTCCATTTTCAACTGTCACCGCCTCAGAAAGCTTTCTACTAAAATTAATCCATGCCTTCATATCATCATGAAACAAGCGAAAATGGAAACAAACTTTTCGGGACATCCCAGCTTCGCTAACATATTCCACAAATCCTTTCTGTTTACGGTGTCAAATTCATTTTGTCAAGACAACAAATACCTGGTAGATATCCATATTTTGTTCAACAGACTTTTCTTGCAGTTTTCTATATATTTTTACACACACACACATATATATGTAACATAGTAATCTATTTACATATTTTATAACGTATAGTAATCTCTCTCTCTCTCTCTCTCTCTATATATATATATATATATATATATATATATATATATATATAGGGACAAGAGGCAGAGGAGGAAGTACTGCAATGCTATGTCATCGAGCCCAGGCCGGACTTTCAGCTTCAACTGCTGCGACCATGTATGCCTGTTCCGCATTGGATTTATCAGTCACAAACGTGTGTTCAAGTGACAAGTACAGACTACCTCTTGATCTTCGATTTGCGAAATCAAGCCATGACACACACACACACACACACACACATATATATATATATATATATATATATATTTAATTTGAGTCTTCTTACCTGAAGTAGCTTATCTAAAAGTGAAACGCGTAGTCTATAAAAGTTTTCCATTTTGTCTAATTCCTTCAAAACCTTGTTCGTAATCTATATCCTTATAACACACACAAAACATAGGATATATATATATATATATATATGTGTGTGTGTGTGTATGTGTATTCTTTAAGTATTATGGAAAACTCACAATTTGTTTGACATCAGGATCAAGGCTGTATAAATATAGCCTGTATTGTAAATGTTTTTTACTTTTATATGTCGTTTTGTAGAATAGCCTATATTTGTTTTACTTAAAATATATTTATTTATATAACCACAGACCTGATGACAAACACCTTAAAATGTAAAAGTACCTAACAACTTTTAAGATAACCTATTTAAAAAGAACAATTTCTCCCTATATATATATATATATATATATATATAATATTATACTACTTTTCACTCAATACTTGGCTCAAGAGCTACTCGGTGCAGAGGGTTGTTGTGTATTGCTGTAGGAGTAATAAAAGGCAAGAAGTGGAGTTTAAATGGTCAAGATTGTAGTGATCGTTAAAATATCCTGCCGGAATTTTTCCCACAATGCACTTGGAAGAATCTGCCGAGTTGAACTTCTTCTTGGTGCAACACGAAGGGAAAGAGGATGATTCATTCATGTGTGGCATAGCGGGGTAATGCACCAAGTAATGTAGCTCGTCAGATCACTTGAAAATGTCGATAGAGTAGCGAGGGGATTGCGATATTTCTCCTTTTGAAAAGGGTTGTAGAGTGGAAAATAATGCATCGCCCACAAGGTTGAGTTGGCGCTTTTGAACTCAATCAATGCAGACAATGTATAGCAACAATACTCTATTTGTGGTGTGAGCTGTCTCTTGTAAAAATAGATTATATCAGGAGGTGTCAGATACTTACTGGAGAGATACAATGAACTAACCATTTTTCCGGCATCTTTAGCAATAGATCGTATGTATGTGTTCCACTTGAGATCTGAAATGAGCTTGTGTCTCAATAGACGGTCAAGCCTCCTTGAGAGAATATCTATACATGATGATAGCTGAAAATTCCGGGTTTGCTCGGTAATGGCGGAAGGTTACTAGTTTGGTTTTGGGCATTTTGAATTTTATAAACCATTCCTTCATTCCATTTACCCCCACCAGAATATACAAAAGATGAAATCGATAGTGACAGGACAAGGGCTAAAAGCAAATGTGTTTAGAATACAAAGCATGTCAGATAATTTTCTCTTTATAAAAATTTATTTTAAATTATTTTCCATTCTATAACAATGCATTGGTCATCTTTTCAGCGGTCAATAAAATAAACTTTTGCTAAGTCAGCGCATTATTTATTCGGTACTCTTGTACTTAGCTACTTTTTTTTTTCCTGCGGGAATCACATAATACTTTTTCTGTGATATGGCATATCTTTCAGGGTGTGGAAGATTATAGATCTCGACAACTTCCTGTCTTAAATACTTTTTCATCCTCTGCCATCTCTGATCATGTTTTGCCATTCATTCACAAAAATTTGTCAGGTAGTTTGCTCTCTATCTTTTTTATCATTTCATTCCAAATAAGGCGATAAAACCCCTAAGACGCAAAGGGATTACCGAGAGTGAAGGAAACTGAGATGACATCACTGAGAAGAATAGAAAATAAAAAGAATAGGATTCAAGAAAGCAGGAAATGATGATCGAGGTTACGTCTACAATTTTGAAGACCGTAGTTGACAAGAAAGCAAAAAACTGCGAAGGAGTTCAACAAGTGTGATGTACGAGAGAAGAAACCATGAGAATAAAATTTCAAACAAGATGGCAAACTAGTACTACGCTTAAATTCACGAGATCGAGGTATCAAAGAGGAAAACTCATTAGAACAATAGACGTGGATTTTTTTATATATAGAAAAGGGTAAAGGAAAGCTACCTTGTAGCGGTGGAAGGAAAAATGGTTGAAGCCAAGATGCCCGTTCAAAGCCGATAATATTGCAGATTATTTTTGCGATTTTCCCCGTTTCTCTTATTTTTAACATGGCCCGAATATTCTTATAATATTAAAGAAAAGGTGCACCCCAGAAACTTTCTAACCTGTGATCAGCTTTTGTAGAGAAAACTACCGTCTGATCTGGTGACCTTTAGAATGAGAGCTTCAAAACTTGACCTGGTTCAATTACCCTTTTAAAGAATGCAAATCTCATTCAGATAATCTCGAAAGTCTATATCCTCTCTCTCTCTCTCATATATATATATATATATATTACAGTAATGTGCATAAAGCTATATCCACACGTGTGTATATGGTTGAAATACATTGAAAATAAGTCATATACTTCACAATTGTTTAATAGCAAAATAACTTTTCAACTGAACCGAAAATTTAGATTTCACTTAAAACCTTTATTGACTCGTGTCCCAAATAATGGTTGACGGAAAAGTTAAATGTAGAAAGGCAATGTTTTTTTTACATATAACAGGAGTAAGACCCGAGAATATGTTTTACTGCATTTAATCAATGGAATTAAATATGGAACAGGAACTAATTGTGAAATATAATTGATTCTGAGAAATAAAATTGGTTGGAGTGTTCTTAAGAAATTGAACCAAAAGATTAACTTGTAGATAACTTAGTATAATTAGACACAGACTTGTAACAGCTACACTCGGCAAATTGGGCAATAAAAATACCAAATAATAAATATCAACAAAAACCTTGATTAATTTGCTTACATAAATTCATCGGATTGATGTGATTTTTTTAATAATCTCGGAGAAAGTTCTGCCAAAGCCAATGGGATGTGCGGTTTGTATTCATGAATTTATATTCGCCGATGACCTTATAGGAAGAATATTTTCTGGATGTAAGTTAACAGAATCCAGTGAAGTACCTAACTAGCCTTGTGCTTTTCGGAACAAAGGAAACTATTAAGAACGTAAATTAATGTCCAAATCATACCAAACATTACTGATGAGAAACCGGTGGGTTAAGTTTCGGTAGCTTAAGTTTTGTATATATAGGTGCGTAAGAACGTTAGAAAAGAGGGAGAACGAGTAAACAGATACATACGACCGTTGTCCTATTATCGTCATAGATGTGAACGAGCGATTGAAAGTTCAGATCACTGCGTATCGTCACCATGCTTTGGAATTGGGGAAAGGAAGACGCCATTTAGAATCTCCTCAAAGATGAAGAGGAGATTTTAAGCAGCTAAAATGTGATTCTGCAAATGCCGATGCCAAGGATACCGAGGACTGAATGTGAGCAACGACGAACTTGTGGAGAAAATGGAAACTAATACTTAACGCATAGAAAAGACAATTTAGGTTTCATAATGAGGAAAGTGAGCTTGGAAAATCTGATACTCATGTGATAGATAGAGGGCAAGAAGGATAGAGGAAAGCATCGGTAAACATACTTGATGAGCATGAGTAAATAAATGGCGGAACAAGGCATAGGAGACATAACAGAAAGACGAAGTTTATTAAGACTTATAATAGACAAGAAATTATAGAAAGTCATGATCGCCTACACCACGATGGGGACACGGAAGAAGACGAAATATCTATCTATATTAGAAGAAGACGACGAAATATCTATCTATATTAGAAGAAGACGACGAAATATCTATCTATATTAGAAGAAGAAGAAGAAATATCTATCTATATTAGGAGAAGGAGAAATATTTGTCTATATTAGAAGAAATATCTGTCTATATTAGAAGTTTTCGTCATTATTCCAAGACTCGGAAAATCAATCAATTTTAGTTTTGTGTGATACGCAGGTGGCTTGAGTTTAGAATTTCTTGAGATCTAAGTACAATGTGAATGGACAACTCTCCTGTCTACGAGTCGATGAATTTCTTCATTTAAAGCGTTAAATTTGGTTGTCGAGATCGGGAACGTTCTATCGGTAGCGTTATTTGTCTACTTAATAGACGAACATGATAAGATAGGGTTAATATAAATGTTTTCACTATATTCATATCTAAAAAGTAAATTTGTCATTTATGGAAGAGCATCCAGTCAATTAAGTGCCATACATAATACACGCTTGCGCGATTATGCCTGACTAAACAGAAGATTTACTCGCAGTTGGTTGCCATTTTTGTGACAAAATGTCAGTCTATTCATATCTATCTATCTATCTATCTATCTAATCGTTCTAAAATAAATACTTCTAACTACTTATTTCCCTCCATTTCTTCCATGCATAGTTCTATCCAGTTTATGGTTTCTGATTCTTGTTTCATCTATGAGTCGACTGATAAAGGCTCTTGCTGGTCTACCTCTTGATCTTTTCCCATAATTTGAATCTCATACTATTAATAGATGCACAACTTGTTTGATTACTTCTCGAAATTCACCACTTAAACGGACTCACCTTTCACAGTGTGTCCGTAAACCTTTGTTAGGATCCCATAAAGTCTCTCATCGGGCATATGTTGACATTTAGCGCTACTCTCAACTGTCGACTGTACGTACTATCTCTCTCGTTTTGTTTATTTTTTGATCTTTTTTTTTTTTAGCCAGTGATTTTGTTAATGTCCATCTGCTTGACCGGTATAAGAGTACTGTCCCTTCTCTTGACCATAAGAAGGATATTAGCATAAGTACTGGTCTATAGATATTTTTTTCTGAACATTTACAACGGACAGAGGAAATAAATAATATAAGTTATCTTCGAGCGTGTCAAATTCTAGACATTATCTTTTTCATTATGACAAGTATTTGACAAAGCGAAAATGTTTGATCCATGGATATCCTTAATGATCAAATAATCTTTTTGTTATAAACTCATTTTCTCCAGACTTGTTCGATCCGCTCCAGTAACTCGTTGCGCAGTTCTCTGAAGTCTTCATGGCTCAGTAATTTTTCAAGGGCAGAATTTCCAACGAATCCGCACTCATCTTTTCGCTAAGTTACAATTATTTAAACCACTTCGATATTAAGTCTTCTACAACTACAAACACGACACCAAGAAAACTGTTTCTTTTATGTTGATCGAGGTAGGAATTTCCCCTCTTCAAGGAAATGTCTGCTTCACTAATTTGCAGTTAATTGTTCAATCCCTGATAAATTAACCGACATTCTTTATTATGCCTTAACACTTTGTACAAAATTAATAATTTTGAGCACAAACAATATTTTATTTTTATGTGAATATAGGATACGGAGTTTTAGCAGTTCGTGGTGTATATTCAGTTACCCAAAAGAAATGAGAGAAATGATGATGTGTTCAACTGCTTCTTCTATATTCCGTTTCCGTTCAGGAGGTTAGCGATCATGGCTCTCCACAATTTCCTGTCCTTTGTAACTCTTAATAAATTATGTCTTTTTGTTACCTCGCCTAAAACCTGCTCTACCATCCATGTACTGAAGATAGCTAGGTAGTTTATGCGTTGTTTTCATCTGTCCCTCTGGTCTTCAGTATGTCCTGTGACTATCAAGATTTCCAAATCCTCTCTGCTGTATCAGCCCTAGAAACTTCAATTGTCCCTTTCTGAAGTTAAGTATGAATGTCCTCTTTGTTTTCATTTTATATAAAACTTCGTCGTTGCTCACATGTTTGGCTCATGGTATTCTCAGTATCCTTTCTGTAGAAACACATTTCTGTTGCTTCAAGTATCTTCATGTGTAAGGAGATTGTCCAGCATTCACTGTCTTATAGGAGGAATGGTATTATATAAAATATCAGTAATTTTTCTTGGTTTCTAAGAATCTTTTCCCGTTTCTTAATACTTTGCTTTTTGAAGGCAGCTTTCGCTATCCCAATGGCCATTCGGATTTCAGTATTGCACCTTCCATCCGCTGTTGAAACACATCCTATTATTTAAATTTTTGTACTTGTTTGATTTTGGATCCCCAGTTTGTAATTTTCATGCTGGGCTGGGTTTTTTTTTTGTCAGCAGCCATGAATTATGTCTTCTTGCAATTGATGTTTAATGCTTTCTTCTCGTTTTCCGTTACTGTTTTCTGTAGAAGTTATTGTAGTTTTCTTTTTATGTTTCCTATCAACACTGTGTCATTTGCTAAGACGCTGCAATAATTACGTTAATCGATCGGTGTCAGAGGAGGATGTGTAAATATAAGTAAAAGGTAAATATTCCAAATGACTGCTTTCAAGGCATGAAGACCCTCCCTGCAAGAAAGAATGATGCAACGAAATCTTCCTTGTTAATTTGGTTTAGTGCCATAATAACATAAGCTTAGTAAATACCAATAAGTGTTCTAATGTTGTTATATATCATTTATACATTGTTTATAGAGTCGGGAACTTGTACCATATAGATGAACCACTGGTTCACAAAAAAAAAGGAAATGGTGGGATCCTTTCTCGATATTCACTCAGTGATGGAATCGACACAAGGAAGTCAGCAAAAAACAGACACAAGACAAAGGGTTTCAAAATAAAACATTTATTCACAAATACAGAAACAAGTAAAGAAAAGAAAAAAATCGTCTAACCAAGGGGAAAGGGATCATAAAAGAACAGAAGGTACGAGCGAATACATATATCAGTCAGTTATGTGCCATGCGTGATACACGCTTAGGCGATCATGTATCTTTCGATACATGACTGACGAGGCAGATTTTCCCGCAGTAGGTTACCATTTCTTTCTGTGGTAGACCAATTGCAATCCAAGGCTATAGAACCCGGCCTGTCTTGCTATTTACCAAAGCTGAGGCGGGAGAAGAAGATTCATACCTTTTCCAAGGGTATTTGCACATAAGTGAATGTAATGGATCCGAATGGAATTCGAACTCGGTTCTTCGATTCCTCAATCCGAGAAGCTACTATCCTCCGCATATATATATATATATATATATATATATATATATATAGTAATCCGTTTGTATAATCCAAGCGAGTCCTATTAACTCATCATAGAATTTGAAATATGTTAAAATTTACTCACAAAAGAGTAAGTGTTTATTTTCATTAAACAGAACTAATTTTCTTTACAATTGGAATTAAAGATCAAGTTAAGAAATCAAATTATCTATCTGGATGGGGTTAGTCGAGTTCTTATGTGAAAACAATATTTTGCCAGCCGGCAATTTTCTTGGAATCCTTTTCTTTCGGAAATAGTCGGGGATCCACGGCATTACCTACAGGTGTTCATTGGTCGATTCGTTTTATTAGTAATTCTTTCATTCTGTAGTGGACAGACTTTGCTGTCTTCTTTATTCCGATGGGCAGTCCAGTTAAAATCGGAACGATTCGCACGGCGATGTTCTGTTGGCCAGGCGGGAAACTGCCTTCATGTGGGTTGTCTTCCGTCCTTGACCGGATACGCAGGAGGATGGGCTGCAAATCATGATGTGTTTGCGTGATGTCCAAAGATCCAAGCAGCCCTCAATAGGGTCTGATCACGTAATCGCAGCAGGAGAGCATGATGGTGCCTGGAGTTAACTTATGATCAATCGCCCGTCTTAATGAACGTCTTACTCCTCAAATCGCTTTAGTTTATCATTCTAAGTATATTTTCCCCATTAAAATCACTTTTGGTCTATAATTTTGCCATTCGTTCATGTATATTCTCTAAGTAAATTATTCCATATTTCCTCAAGCTACTTTTTTCTTCGCCTTGTCCCATAAATGCTGAATTCTCTAAGCCCTTTTTACTCATTTGCGAAAATTCAGATAGTGGATGAATTAAAACTAAATCACAGGATCAAGACAGAATTTTCTTCATGTATTTACATTGTACATAGCAACAAGAACAAAAAAAGATTATAATTCATCACTAGTATTCAGCCTCAAAAATCATAGTGGATTGTTCGCTTGTAAACAGGAGGTGGGGGCAATCAAATCTATTATACGGGGCCCCAACTCTACTAAGTCTCAATTTTCATAAGGAAGTATTCATATAAAATACAAAATCCTAATGATATACAATAATTGCTCATAAACATTATGAGTTATCAATTCAAATAGAAAAATTTTAAATAAATACAATGTATCTAAACGCAAATGTCATAAATCATCAATGTTTTACGGCAAGTTTTAACGTCAACTTAAAAAATTGAATAATTTTAACCCGTTCAACATTATGAATAAAAAATAGTGGTTTTAATATAGTGTTTTTTTCGAGACTTAGCATGAAGAAAACAAATTCACCCCAGAATGATGTCAAAATCTGCGAAAAATTTTCATCTTCTAATAGGCAGCTGTGCTTAGTTTAATTTTTAAAGTATATAAATGTAGGTAAAAAAAAGCAAATGTTGATATGATAGCTAGGATCCCAAAACACCACCGAGGGCTCCTAATCGGGCTTGCACCAGCTTCACCTATAAATATATTTATTTGATATCTACTCCCAATAAAATCACATTAATCATAGTTTATTGGTTAATTTACTAATCTTGTAAGTCACATCAAGTTTTGTAATTCACTGTCTGTTCGAAAAATAGGTAAAAAGAACTAAGTTTTTGATAGACAGAAGTCCTTTTAATTACACTCAACAATAAAGTGCACTATAAACAAAAAATTGTTTTATTACAAAATTATTTATTCACATTTTTAGACGTTTCCAGAAAATGAATTATATTTTTATTTAAAACATGATACATTCATAGCGTTTCATAAAACTCGCGAGATTATTCCGCGTGGATAGAGTAAAATTCTAAGTCTACAAAATGTAAAACATTTTGTTTAGAATCTTTAC